AAGGATAGGGGTCTGACAGAAAACACAGAGTCTAGAAGGAAACTTTCTAGATCTTAGTTAGGAAGAAAGATGTTAAGTTTCTCTTGGACTATGTTGTGTCTAGAGGTTTCGACACTTCGGAGAACTTACGGGGGAATCCGTAAGAACAACAATTATGTTATCTCTTAATAACAGCTCGGTAGAACTCCGACTCAACTTCCACCGTGGCTTGACACCCACACCTAAGACAAGACCTAAGAAGGGAACAAATAAATCTTCCCCCTGTATCTATGCTTAAATTGTCCAAATCACACTCTGAAGTTTTCGAAAATGTGTGGGGCTGGGGTAAAAGGAATCGCGGTTAGGAAGGAATGTTGTTTTCAAGGGTTTGGGGCATGAGTGACATGCTATGAATGGATTAAAGGTTGACGCTCGTAACGCATTTTTGTGCCTGCATCTGTATGTGTGTAAGTGATGTCTTGCATCTGCACATGTGTTGGACGTTTGTGCTGTCTTCTGAATTTGGGATCGTCTGAGATATTCGGGCAAAGGGACACGACAATTGTGAAAGTGAGCTCGACCGCTCAGTCAGCTCCCTTGATTTACATACATATATATATATATATATATATATACTTGTGAATGGGATCGTAGGCCAGCCGGTACCTAGGAACTACGTTGCCACTTGTACGTACCCTCGTACGAGTACGAGCTCGTACTCTTGTACTCGTACGCTACTCGTACGCTAGGGGCCCCGTACAATTTTTTTTTTTTTTTTTTTTTAAATCCGATATTATTTATTTTTTCCTCAAATTTTAGTAAGAATCTGAAGATGATGCTCAGCCAAATGTTGCTTTTTTATGTTGTTGCATCACATATTGTTTTTTCGGACTTTTTAATGCGTTTTTTTTTTTTTTTTTTTTTTTTGCTCTTTCGTACGGGGATGTACAAGACGTACAGGTTCCCGTACAGGTTCCTGTACAGGTTTCCGTAAAGGTTCTCGTACAGGTTCCCGTACAGAAATAAGCTGTACGTTTTGTACGGGAAGCCCCCGTACGTGTACTGTATGCAACGTAGCCTAGGAAGTCATTTTGCATGGGACTTCTTTTGAGAAGAATGAGAGATTACTAAGGGTTTGACTCTGGCGTTTTCATAAGGTCAACAAAGGGGACATAGAGTCATTGCCATAGTTAGTTAAGCGTGGAAGACTGTCCGAGAAGTCGACCTGATTAGATAGTCGGTCCTGAGAGTTAGCACCTCGGGACTCAACATACGGGTCAGTCTTAAGGCGTTCTCCCTCGCGTATGCCTATGCTAAGGTGATCGAGAAAACGCCCTCGGTTGACCTACCTCTGCGATTGCATGTAAAAGCCTTCGCACGTGGGTCAGTAGCTCAGCAGGGATACACCCACCTAAGGGATGGTGACAGCTCCCGCAGGAGGAGGTAATGTTGTACCTCGCGGGATCCCTAGCCTGTCGTAGGGAGTCGCGAGAGGTATAGCACGCGCGCATGGTCGGAGTTGGTATTGCGTAAAGTGACAAAAAGATACTCCCGCGTGACACGACCGTGAGATCCGACACAAAACTACTTTGTGTCTGGGTGAAGGACCACCGCGCGCGACAGGTGACGCCGTTGCCGGGGATCTCGTTTTTAGCCGAGGTCCTTGGTGAGTGAACTCGGGTAAAGCAAGATCCAGGCAGAACGACAATTATTAAAAAGTCGGTAATTAACTAAGACTCTAAGTAGAATACGGTAACTTGGATAGTTGGTGACGAATAGTTGTTCCAAATAAATCAGTGTGTAAGATAGAGACGAGAAGTACTATTGTCCTGCTTATACTAAGAGTTAACAAATATGACCCCTAAGGGCCGTAGGACCGGAACTGGTAGAGGAAGAGACGGCAGGCAGGGGAAGGCGCCTGAAAGGCCTATAGACTTGACCAAAGAAAGGGAGGAGTGGAAAGAAGATGATGAAGGACTAGAAGAGAAGGACGAAGGGTTAAGGGCGAGACGGTATCGGGAGGAGAGGCGCATGCATATCCCAAATCCTGACGAAATGGCATATTACTCATATAGGTATGCAAAGCGTTACGGAGAATCCCCACCATGCTTCGAGCTGCCTAGTCGCTCGCATCATAGCCCTTACCCTCTGTCTCAAGAGAGGCAGCTGACCATCCTTCCCCCGCCTCACCAACAAGGGTCCCGCGAGATACCACGTGTACCTGATCCTCCTGTGGTTTCGCAGTCTACGTCCACTGATAGGAGGATGTGCCTATCACTCCTAATGTTTATATTCTGTAAGTTAGAAATCTGTGGGTTGATATTTTACTTGTTGTATAAAAAAGTTATATAAGGGTCCAAAAAGGGTTGGAGAAGGTGGCAGAATAAAAAGGGAAAACTAGTCAGAATCTAGGGTTGAAAGTCTGATGGAAGAATGTGGGCTGGCTTGTATTGTGTAGTAGGTGGAGTATACCAAAGAAAAAAAGATGGCTTCTGCCCGATATCAAATCACGATCAGAGAGCCCGTGCAAATGAGACGTGGCCTTATGATGAATCTTCCCAGTCGCCACGAAGAGAATGAAGAGACAGGGTATTGTTGGGGGATTTCTGTAGGGGAACAAACTTTCATCTAGATTGAGTCTGGATGGGTTAGAGGCGAAAACTGTGCGGTAGAGAGGGTTACCCTGTACATCACATCAGAGAATATGCAAGCTATCATAATAAATTTAGTATTAGGTGTTGATCGATCTCTTTCTACACTATTATGGATAACAGAGTCAGTGCTCGAGTCTAGAAGAAGAGATGCTAGTATGAATGGATTTGAAAGGGTCATAGGAACTGTGAGGGTAAGGAAGGCAAGCGAATTTCTTCCGCCAGCAGCATATCTAAGAGGGACCCTCCCCATGTTCATCGTAGATACAACTTTCGGAGGGAGTACCCGAGTGGAAAGGGCTGCGGAAACCGCAATGGCAATACCTGAGAGAGAATAATACGCATCCACCTCTCTGCTGGTATACTACATATACCTAGAGATAGGGCATTTGATTGAAGAAAGGGATCGACAAATTATACTATCACAGGTCGAATTGTATGCACGTCAATACGATTGGGCAGATAGGCATGTCTACTGGAAAGAACTGAAGCAGGGGATCCTCGATCAAATAGGAAGGGGTGCTTGGGAAAGACTGAGATAGAGAGTTATTGAGAAATGGATATTGAGCGGTTACTAAGAAAGGAAAGGTTCTTTCTTTGGCTGTTGTAACAGGAGTACCAAGATGGCTCCTTTAATATGGTTCGCTGATCGGAGTTTTCTGATCATCCTGCCCGAACCAAAGGAAGGAGGGGTTAAGATGACACTGTCGAAGAGAACGATAGATCTGGATGAAGAATTAGACTCATGGTGTGGGATACCGATAGGACAGGAAACCTTCCTTTGGATAGAAACTGGGTGAACCACAAGGGAAAGGCAGACAATAGTAAAGGTGACACTTTATCTACCGGCCCTTCTCTGGAGTGCACACTCGATCGATCTTGCGATAGGGGAAAGCCGCCCCGTCTCTAAATACGTGTTGATAGTCGGAATGACCCTTGACACATTTTCAAGGAAGATGTATTGGGAAAAAAAGGGGAGGTTATAAAATCGATCGATGCTAAGTGGGCAGCCGAATTCACATATCCGACAAGGTACATAAAGACCACTCTTTCGAATTTCGTAATTGAGTACTCGCAACACAATCGGTTCCAAAGATGGGCTTCGAGTTCGAGGCGTCGGAAGTTGTTTACCGTCTATACTTAGAAATGAGACCAAGATTAAAAAAAAAGGACTTCTATAACGTACTATGCGTGGTAAACACGTACCTACGGATCTACCAGTTTGAAGATATCTCGACCTACTGACGCAATCTTTGCCGGGAGGCATGTATTGAAGAATTTATACATGAAATCTCTTCTTTATTTGGTATGGTTAGAAGTTTTTGGCACGGGGACTGGGTGCTCGTAGAAGAAATACTCGGTTGAGAGAAAAGGGATATGAAAAGTCATGTAGGGTAATAATAATTGACAAGAGTAAAGGATATGTCAAGATAGTGACGAAGAGGGTGGATCAATGGTCGTTTTGTGTGTCTTAACAGGGTCTACGGTCTAGCAGGAACCGAGAAAAAAAAAAAAGGGAAAAGATGGGTGATGCCAGCGCCAATGGAGGGCCGCCAATCACCGCGGCGGAAATCGTCAAGTTACTAGAAAAGATAACGATAAAGAGGTCTAACCTACCGATAATAAACTTCCCTTTCAAGGGAGATAGGGTGACTCATTGGTTGAAACTGCTCGAGCAAATCTTCAACCAGTTGACACCTGCCGAGAAGTTTGCCCAGTTGTTCGAATACGTATGGTGGGAGTGCATCTCTGACGTAGAAGAGGTAGTGAGAAAGTCCAACAATGATTGGGCTGAGTTTAAAAGGGGCATGCAAAAGACGTTGACCATCTCTATAACATAAACAGAGATGACTTCACTACGATCAGGACGTTCGCCAACACATTCGAAAAGACAGCCGAGAGGGTCCCGGGACTGTCTGAAGAAATGCAGTGCGTCATATTCCTAGGGAAATTCTCTGGGTATGAGGCGATGGAACTAACTCGAGGGGGAGCCGCCGGGAGGAAGACAACCTGGAAAACCATCAAAAGGAACATCGTGGCGGAAGACATGAACCAAGTGTTCCATCACCAAATCAAGGTCGAACGAAAGAAAAGAAGGGCAGTAGGAATGATCTAAGGAACGGATAGGGTTTTTGGAGGAGTGTTGAGCAATATGGCAAATGAGATAAAAGTGTTTAGGGAAAGAGTGACACCATCGAAAGTGTTAACAGTGACACAACCATCAGGAAAAAAAAGGAAGGAAGAGGAAGATGGAGAGGAAGAGGTAGAAGATGGAGAACCAGAAGGAACGGGCAAAATGACCAAGTGTCAGAGGAAGGCTAAAAATATCGCTATCGGAGGATAAGGCTCGGGAAAAGGGCTAGTAACTCAACAAGCGATAGTCAAGTATGGACAAGAGCCGTCAACAAGGACAACACGATGTGGTCAATGGCCCATGGGTCCGCCTATGGGAGCATGGCCTGGGTACTTCCCGATAGGGTCATGGCCTACGCAGGGTCCATATCCTATGTTACCCCATAATCAGAATTTGGGAGGAGACCAAAACACGGGACAACTCCAACTAACCGGGCAGAACCAACCAGGATCGAGTCGGCAAGGAGGACAAAACCAGAACAGGTCCCAAGGACAAGGACAAGGACAAGGACATAGAAGAGGTAGGAATGCTGGTAGAAATCAGGGACCAGGGGAACGAGGAGTAGGAAATAGAGGAAGTGGGTATCAAGGTGGAAACTGGGGGCAGCTCCAAGGGGGTGCGAATCCGGTAGGGCAAGAATACCAGCAGGGGTATGGTCGTGGTTACGACCAAGGCTATGGAAGGGGGTTTCGTAGAGGAAATGGATCATGGAACGGACAGGGTTTTGGCAGAGGATGGATAGACTATAACGAATGCATTTGTACCCAATGTGGGATCAAAGGACACACAGTAAAGCGATGCCACGTCAGGAAGCTCGACGAGCGCGATGGACTCATAACATCGAACATAGATGGCGAGGTGTTTGACAGAACAGGAAGACCGATCGATCCTGAGATTCCGGGAGGCACTAGAAAAGAGGCCCTTCACATAGCCACGCTAGGTCCTAACACCCCGGAAATGTTCAGAATGTGGCAAGGAAAGGAAGGATCAGTCGTACGGGTGGAAGATGTAACTGAACTAGAAGAAAAACTGAGCAGGATGAGGATCAAAGAAAGCAAGGAAGAAGTACCCCTTGTGGAAGAAGAAGCAGAAGAGGATGACGTTAGGATTAACGTCAGGGACACGTTTGATAGGATGGAGGACTTAGTGAATAAGATGCAAAGACTGCATTTGAGGCTTCAAGGGATATGTGAAGAAGCGGGGGAAGAAGGGGCTGGGTTCCCGAAAGTGTTTACCATGGGACGTGGAGGATTGGGAGATGGGCCAAATGAGCCCAACCCAAGAATGCTGAGGGCGAACATGGCCGCAAAGAATAGTGGGGGTCAAAGAAGCGTGAGAGGAACGATTCTGTTCGCTACAAGAAGACCTGCAGAAGAGAATCCTTCAAAGGAGCAAGCCCAGACTTCCCAGCCTGCAGAGGAAGAACCACCTATCATGGTAGAGGGTGATGAAGACGAGGATGAAAAGATTAGGGAGGAAAAAGAGAGGCAGGCGAAAATCAGGGCTAAGAGAAGGAAAGGTGAAGTTAAAGAAGGAAGGTCCAAAAATGACGAAGCGCCAAGCAAAAAGAGAAAGTACCAGACGTCGATCGAAGAAGGGGTAGACTTGGAAGGTCTAGTAAATAAGCTGCTAGAAGATCACAATGAATTGCTAAATCTGAAGGAAATTCTAGCTTCGGCTCCTAAGTTAAGAGAAATGGTGAAGGCAAGGTTATCACGCCAGAGAGTGGCCTCGGTCCGGATGGGGGACCTGATTCCCAAGGAGGCCAACTGGAGTGTGGCAGAAAGCAAAATGGACTGGAAGTTCGTGGGAACAGGGTCCATTGATGTCATGATAAAGGGAAAGATGTGTCCTGGGATGGTCGACACCGGAGCAGAAATGAGCATTATAAACGGAGAAACGGCGGTGAAACTAGGACTGGAGGTAGATGAAAACGACTGCGGGTTTCTCAATGGAGTCAGCGGCAAGACCGGGTACACGGGGGTTGCATCGAATGTGGTGATAGAGATTGAAAGAGTCAAGATACGTACGTGTTTCTACGTCATGCCCAACTTGGATCTTCCAATATTATTGGGCAGGTGATTCCTGTGCAGATCCGAGTCGCTCATTATGAACAAGCACGACGACACCATGTTCGTCATCTTGTGCGATCTTGCCTGTGGGAACTTTGAGGTTATCACCTGTAGGAATACCGTCTCACACAGCTCGAAGAACAGGCTCAATGCCGGATCCTACACGTTCGAGGAGTCTCGGAATAGGAGGAAAACTGGAATGGGAAGAAGGAGAAGAAGAGTCAGATGATGAGGAAGCTAAAGGGCTTGTACTGAGCCTAACTAATATCAGTGACGCAGTGGAACTGGTATCAGCTTATAGGATGGCTGATCCAGACGCAGTCAGGACACTCATAGAAAGGATCCAAGACGATCCAGAAGGGGGAAGAGTCGATCTCGTTTACCGGCCGCCTCCTTCTTCTCAGGTAATAGTGCCGCATGCGCCGAATGCTCAAGCTGCAGGTCAACATTTTTTAGGAGTGGGCTCAAGCAGGGCTCCAAAAGGAGGTACAAGTCACCCTGTGCCAGTTCTAGTGAGTCAGGAAGAATGGGTGTATTATGATCAGGAAAGAGAACTGATACAGCGAATGAGGAAAGGCATCCAGAATGGGCCTTGTCGTATCGACGATGAGACTGAGAAAGAACTGATAATAGGGAAACCTGGGTTTCTGACAAGGCAAAAAGAGGACTTGGTGAAAGAACTGATACGTGAAAAACATGGGGCATATGCCCTCAACGATGATCAACGTGGGAGGCTGGATGTGGACAAGATCGAAATGATCCGCATTCATACTGTACCTCACGAACCATGGAATGTTCGAGGAGCTAAGTATCCCAACCCTGAGGATCGCAGAAGGGTGGTAGAATACCTAGATGAAAACATCCGTACGGATGTTGCAGGATATTCGAGTGGACTGTACGCGTCTCCCTGGTTCTGTTTTGTAAAGCCGAACGGAGTACTCGGATGAGTACAAGACCTCCAGCGAGTGAATGCGATAACCGTAAGGGATGCTGGAGGGTTACCTAACGCAGACCAGTAGTCAGAAGCTTGTGCAGAGAGGTCGATCGTCGCACTCATCGACCTCTACTCCGGGTATGATCAGTTTCCAGTCTATCCGGCAGACCGTCCCATCACTGCAATGCACACGCCAAGGGGATTGGTCCATATGAATGTCGCACCGCAAGGATGGACCAATGCTGTGGTCATGGTGCAAAAAAACATGATCAGAGTGATGCAGCCCATCAACCCTCAGATCACTGAGTCGTACATAGATGATCTTGCAGTTAAGGGTCCGATAGAGAAGGATGAGTCCGAAGTGGCTCAAGGGGTGAGAAGGTTTGTATGGGAACATGTTCAAGGGTTAATAGAAGTCTTCTCTCTACTGGAAGAGTATAACCTCACCGCCAGTGGAGTGAAGTCGAGACATTGCGTAAAGGAGGTAACCATTCTAGGATACATTTGCAACGAGCATGGTCGGCGCCCTGATAAGAAGAAGACCAATAAAATCCTGGAATGACCCACTCCTTTCAGAAATGTGGGTGAATGGCCAGTAAGTTAGTAATTATACTACGGCCAGAGGAAGTTGATGTGCCTCTAAAAAGATTGAAGGACAAAGTGAGGGTCGCCCCCAATAGCAGCAGCAACGGGTCTGACCAGGCAGAGGGAGATGAACTGAAAGAGGAGGAGGCAGCAGAAGGGAGGAAGAAAAGCATGGGGGCAAGTGTGGTACCAAGGAAGATAAAGACTGAGGAGAAAAGGCCAATTGAGATTGGAAGGAACGAAGCACAAGAAAGGAAGAGTGAAAAGGAGGGAGGTGTAAAGAAGGCTGGAGAAGGAAAGAGGATCCAGGAAGGAGGCAAGGCTCCAAAGGTCAAGAGAACTGAGGAAGAGGGGCCAATTGGAGACAGAGAAAGAGAAGAGATGAGCGGGATAAGAAAGAAGGAAAATGAGAGGGATGCCCAGGTGGAAAAATTGATGAGAGACATGAAAGAAATGAGGAAGGAAGTAAAGGAATTGAAGAAAGAGAAGGAGGAATAGCAGAAAGAAGTGAGCCAATTGAGGGCTGCCCTGACTGTGAATGACAAAAAATTGGAGAATGAAGCGGCCACAATAGGAAGGATGAAAATAAAGATGGATGGTCTGGGCTCTGAGGTCAGTGTGCTAGGGCTGGACCTGGACAATGAAATCTCAGAAAGAAAGAAGAAGTTAGGACAGGAATGGGAGAAAAGATTGGGTGAGATATTGATAGGAATGGAGAGACTCAGATTGAACCATCAGGGGAAAGAAAAAGAAGCCACAGAGATGGTGGAAAGAAAGGGGGGTGAAGAGAAGGGGGTACAGACTGAGGAGAAGAGAGAAGAGTCTCCTGCACCAGAAAAGGAGATAAGTGAGAGTGTGGCTATGCCTTTGCCATGACAGGGAAAAAAGCAAAGGGAATCTGAGTTGAGCTCACCAGAAGGAACTGAGAATCAGGCTGAGACTTCGACCCAGCCAGACATAAAGAGGATCAAGCCTAGCATGGCTGGAAAGAGGTGTTTCTTCTGGACTCAGGAAGGGCATCTCAGGGATGAGTGTTCCATTCTGGCAGTTTATATCAAGGAAGGAAAGACCAGATATGATAGTCATAAGAGATTGGTGATCTGCACAGGGCAGATCATTCCCAGGATACCTGAGGGAGGCAGGGTAGCACTCCACAGGATACTTTGACTGCCAATTGATTTCTAGATAGGAAAAGGTAGGTGTTTCTGAGTAAATCATGACTTGTATTGGTTTGTAAAACAGTTATGAGAGGGAGAAAAGGGGTAATTTAGAGCATAGGGTATGTGTTTTATTCTTCAGTTAGATAGAGGAAAAGTATGAGACATGTTGTGCTGCTTTCTTCATTCAGATAAGGAGACTTAGCATAGGAAGTAGTACAGGAAAGGACATGAGAGATATTTGAGGGGTAGTAGAGGTGAGTGGCGATCTGACTCTATAACATACTTGTATTTATATATCTTTCAGGGGGATAAGCTGGTGAGCACGACGCACTTGTCACATTGTGTGTGGGCCTTTGTCTTTGGTTGAGTCTCTAGTAACCTAAGATCTCCCTTCGTCTATCACTACTAGACTCTGTTGAGATCTAAAGAGGTGATAGAGGAACGGGTGGATTTGTATTTTACTTGAAAGATTGATGAGTGCTTGTGAAACTTCAAAGGTTGGATTGATTGTACATTTCATGTTTGAGACCCATGCTACGACATGGATAGACTCCTTGGAGTCTTATCAATTCTATTGCAGAAATTCTTTGACAATCTTTATGAAAGTGATGTTTCTTCGTGGAGTCTGACAAGCAAAGAGTCAATAAAAGTTCATTTTAAAAATAATGGTTATATATATTAAAAAAATAATAGTTATATATATATATATATATATATATATATGTATATATATATATATGTATATATATACAAAATGACCCCGAGGTGCGTGTCTCACCAAGCTATGATCAAGGACTTGGAGGGCACAACCCTGAGTGGCAGCCTTACGAATGCTCAATTTATTAAAAATTCTCATTTATTTGGTTTATTTAAAGCATCGTTCTTCCACCTCAAGGGTTAACCTGGGGGCATAAAACTACCAAGCCTATGGTGGAAAATTAGCATCGTTGGGACGTAACTCCCAGCGTGGGCTGCTGACCTAGCATAACCAGGCAGCGGACCCTTCGACTATGGTCTAGAATAGGGGCTAGAGGGGATGGCCACCCCAGTGAAGGAACCTATTCAGGTGGGTGTCGAAGGGGTCGAGATTAGTTTAAAATTCATAAGATGACTAACCCATCGTTGCGCAACCAACGAGGGTAACCACCGATAAGCAACAACGCGGTGGGCCGCAGCTCCGGTCTGATCAGCACCGGTAACCACCGATAACCCACCGTTGTCCTCCTGTATTAGGCTTCGGGCAGGACAATAGACAACTTTTGACAAGTAATATCGAGAGTTGAACAACCAAGGTCTTGGTTAGGACCCGCGTTTGACGGGTTGAGTTCGGGGGACACCGACCTTGAAGACAACCAACGAATACCTGGGCCAAAGACTAAGGGTGTGGGGGAAGGAAAGGTGTGTTGTCATACTTAAGTACTTCATGTACTGTCGTACAGATCAAGTATCCCCACTTCCAGTCATTATATTTTATGTGGGAGACCCGGGTTAAAAACTCGGCAGTAATAATAAAAAGTAAGGTGACGACGTCAATCCTGAAACCACATTTCATTCCAGGATTCGGATTTGACGATTTGCTTATCGGAAAACACCTTTATGTGCATATAGCTCTCCGAACGACAATGACGTCGCTTAATGAGGTCTGGGATACTGTCGGACAAAATACCCTTACAAGGGTATTTTGCCATGTCCTTGCATTCGACACGGTGGCGGCGTCAGCTACCATGACGTAGCCAGTCTGGAATGAAAGGGGCGTGCACGCTTGGTGTGACACTGGAAGCGAATTCCTCGGCTACTGAGGCCAGGGCAAAATCGGTGAGAAATTTTCGTTAAGTGTGTGCGCTCGTTATTATGACGCGCGCCATGGTGATTAGGATCAGTAGTAATACCCCTCGACAGAAGAACTCGAAGGGTCAGTTGGGTTGATGATGAGTCAGATAGATCTACTACACGCACTGAGACTTTGTCTGGTGCCTGTCTGTCTACCGATACCAGGGGTTTAAAAATTTTCAACTTTTCGGCCTCCAAGTCGAGTACCCGCCACGTCTAACTCTACTTGGTGTGGTACCAGCCTACCCGCCACTTGAGTGATTACCCCGCTGCGACCCTTCATGCCGCAGCCACGGCTAAGTACCAGCCTTTCGGGCCTTCCGATGAAATAAGTGCCCTTGGGGGCGCGCGCATATTCAAACCGACGAACCTAAGGACGGGCGCACTAACTGGCAAGCGTGCAAAAGCACGCAGGCTAAGAAGAACAGACCTATTACATCTACTTATAGGGAGGTGGCTCTTTACCATACCATGGTAAGAGCTAGCCCAGTAGGTAGAGGAATGGACTTATAAGCAGGGGACACTGGGATCGAATCCGACCTGCCTCTGGGCTAGCTTTTTTGCTAGCTACAAAAGGGGCGGGGCTTATTTTTCTCAGCCGCCCTCAGACGAGCGGGATTTGAACCCACGACCTTACAAGTAGGAATTAGTAAAGTTAGTTGTTAGTTACAACCGAGTGTCGTGGGGCTCCGACACTTGGTGAAGTAGGGGTGAATTATGGGGTTGAATCGCGTTAGATTCCTTGTTTCAGTTTTCTTTCTTTTTATTATTTTTCTTTTACTTTTTTTTGTATTTTCCTCGACGGCCTACCTGCCCTGAGGTGCCTAAATGAATCCCGCCCTAATACTGAGGCAGATTCATCTAGCAAGAAGCTTCCCCGATTGTGGTGTGACAGGACTTCTCTGTAGACTGGGCACTTCTGGCCAGAGTAACGCTGCAATAGCAACCGAGAAAAGCAGTAGCGAGGACAGGACATTAGCAGGCAAGAGCTCGAAAGCGGAATAGGCATTCAGGAGGCGGTGATGCACGCACGAAGCATTCGCAGCGAGCGCGCAAGCAAGAACGTGGAGGCGGCTTCAGGAGTAAACTAAGGAAGGAAGACTGAAAATTGGCAGAGGAAGCAAGGGAAAGGCAAAAGGAGAAGAGAAAGGGGGAGGAGAAAGGCAGGGAGGAAAATAGTAGTAAGTCAGGAAGGAGGAAGGAGAAGGAGTTAAGGCGATACTTACCTAAGCTGAGCGACGGACTAAAGACAACAACGGAGAACAACTTGGACTACGGCGAGAGGAGGAAAGAGGAGGTAAGTCTACAATTATACGACTTACCTCGGGGAATAAATAAATAAATAAATAAATAAATGAACCTACCAATAAAACGTGGGTCTATACACGCGCTACGTATGTGTGTATGTGTGTGTGAGTGTATGTAAGTATGTGACGAAACGCACGACGAGCCTCATGTTTACTTTTATTGATAGAAGCTAAATCGAATGATAATGCCTGTTGCGATGATCGGTGTCACGCTTTGGTCACTGCTCGCCCGCCGTCGGACTTTCGATCTGCTCCCCCGTGAGGTGTCAGCCGTACGTGGATGTGTGCGTGAGAAATAGAGTTCTCTTCTAAGTCCGCTATCTCTTCTTCACCCTCTCATCCTCTAACTTCTCAGTATCTGCGGACTACAAGAGAGAGAGAGAGAGAGAGAGAGAGAGAGAGAGAGAGAGAGAGAGAGAGAGAGAGAGAGAGAGAGAGAGAGAGAGAGAAAGGGTTGTGACCAAGGACTTGACGACATCAGATCCGGACAAGATATTGGAACTTCAGACATGACGATGAAGGATTATTTGGGACATGTATTGAAGACTTGTTGCTGACGACATTCCCATCTCCCCCCTTCTTCATCTAACCCCCTCCTCTTCGACTGTGTATCCTCCCCTTCGACTATGAATGGCGGGGACTGGCCCGTTCTTCTTGGGAGAGCACCAGGCCCCTTTTCCCCGCGAGAACGATGACGATGTGTGTCGCGGCTGCATTGCGATATTGATCGATCGGATCATTGGTATGTAAGCCCTCTACACTACCTCAAACTTTGTGCGGGAGGTCGGTTCTTGTATGATCGGCACCCGTATAATAAGCAGTGGCATGGGCGTGTGTGTGTGAGAGAGAAAGAGAGAAAGAGAGAAAGGGTGGAGGTCGGAGGCACTTACCCGTAACGCCGTCGCTCCAGCTTCGTCTTCAAGGTACCTGCAGCACACGTCAGCATCCCAGGTTGTACCTGGCTCGAAACGAGAGGAGAAAGGGAAAAAAAGATGGAGAGAGAAAGTGAAGAAAAGGAGAGAGAAAGGGGGAGAGAGAAAGGAGATGGAGAAGGAGAGAGAAAGAGGGAGAGAGAAAGAGGGAGAGTGAAAGGAGATGGAGAAGGAGAGAAGAGATCAAAGAGGGAGAGAAGGAGAAGGTGAGAGAGGAGATGGAGAAATAGAGAGAGAGAGAGCCTATACGCCTCTAGCAGCCACGGCTCGACGCGCGCTACCTGGATTGATTGAACGAGCAAACCAAAAAGTGGCAGTGTATATTTCCCCGTTTCAGCGGAAGATT